TGCGCGGTCAAGGTGTCGAAACGACGTCGACAAAATTCCTCCTCGACAACGCTTGTCCACATGTTGCGGAAAAACACCTTGGAAAAAAATTGAGGAATAGGGGTTGGGAATTCCTGCCTCATCCGCCACACAGCCTAGGCCTGACTCCGTCCGATGACCATCTGTTCCGGTCAATGCAGCACTCCTTGGCCGAGAGAAAATTCAAAAACCGCGAAAAAGTCCAACTCAGGGTGCCCAACTACTTTGAGTCGCAGTCGGCCGAGTTCTGCAGGAGAAGAATCCATTCTTTGAGGAAACGTAGGCAACAAGTCATTGATAGTAATGGAGAATACCTTTTGGATTGATCTTGTTTAGTTTCGTTTACATAATAAAGAGATTTTTGAACTCAAACGCGCATTCCTTTTCGAACAACCTAATAAAATATGATTGTCGTGAAATGTCAACGAAGGGGTTCTAGACTCATGAAAAAGCAAACTATTTCCATGCCCAAAATACTACAAGACACAAAGAATAGCTGCCGCAAAATAGTAGAAGTGGAGAAATGTGTGACAAAATGGACAGCTCGTTCGTATACCCCATTCCATACAATTTTTACCGTTACTTCACGTCCAGCTCTAATTTTACAACTTTTTGGAGACTATATTTTCTGAGTACGCAGATTTTCGCGTTTTTTCGCCACTTTTGCACTCTTTTAGAACATCATTTCCACTACTCTTCTAAAACTAGATACTCCAAAATTATTGTTAGCTAAGCTTTTACGTTAGGTGACTGATGTATTCTATCTAATCAGATTAGTCCAAACGTCTCAAACAAGTGTTGGACGGTATCGAAAAATAACAGAAGCAACAGCATTTATTACTCAACTCTCTTACTCTTATCAATTCAGTGCACAGGTAGCTAGGGCGTGGCTATCGATGCATAAACGGCGTTACGTGTTATTGTTTATTTTCTACCACGCTCATATTTTACTGACAGTCCACGCGGAGTGCATGATGAATAAATTAATTAAGTAATTCGAACAACTGTAGAGTTTTAATCTTAACAGTCCAGAGGAAAAGTTTCGATATTACCCAGATGCAGGTATAGGAAACAACAGATTTGGATGCCCGTAACTAGGTGTCTCAAGCAGTAGGATTAGGACAGCCATGACCATTGAATGATACGTTTCGAAGTAGAAATTCTTTATCAACGGGAATAGAAACTCCATCCGCTTTTGATGAAGCCGATCCTCACCACGGCCACCCTATGAATCTCAGTCTAATTTCTATCGAATTATTGCAGCTTTTGTTTACCTCTATAGCTCTATCCAAGTAGGTGTGTCTGATAAAATAATCACTTATTTCCTCTGGATATGAACTGAATCCGGGTATTGTATGTGCAGACGCCATTGGCCTCGACCGTCTGCCTTCAATCTGAATGATGAAATCATTTTCATATCAGCCCTAGTATTTTATGATTTGTTACGATCATCCTTTCATTGGAGTGACTATCTTGTTGTTTACATCGGTCGTGTTGTTGTTATTTATATTCATATGTTTGCCTAACTACAAGTTGTCACAGTGGGCTGGCTACGAAATCACGAATAACTGGATAGCTGCATTTGCATCAGGTCTTCCACTGGGGACGGTGTTTTTGAGGTGTTTACCGTATCCTCCCACGGAAAACTTTCGTCTAATCACAGTATTGCGCCCTAGTGGGTGTTGAGAGTTAGGCATTTATAATGAGCACCATAAGAAACTGTAACCATGAACCATGCAGTAGACGTTGCTGTTCGTCATCTTGTCTAAATTTCTCAGCTTTCTCAACTCCCCCCAAACTGCCAACCCGCCCTATCATTTGGTAGTCCGTCAAAGTAAAACGTGCTCAACATGAATCTCATGTCCGATCGTTTACGAATTAAGGAAGATTTCCTGACAACGGTTATACCACTTGTTGGACCTGCTCAATTCAAAGTTTTCTACCAGTGGCAACAATGGCTTGCTTAAAGTCCACTCCGCTCACATACTATGTGTGTAGGAAACAGTTCACATTTTTCAGAATGTATCCTGAGAGTAAACCAGTTCCCTATCAAGTGCTGCATATTCTGATACCTGTTATCGCTTTTACAGGAAACGGCGCCATTGTTTATGTGACAATACGTTCGAAGTGAGAACTTCAAAGAAAAGAACTGAATTGTTTGAAATTATTTCAAGCGCATTGATGAATCGCGTCTGTTACCTGTTCTATTAAGAGTTTTGCGGAGTCCTTGCAACATACTCATTGCTCTGGTATCTCTCAGCGACATGGTACTAGTCTGTTCTCAAGTTATTGCTACTGTCCTTCATAATATGTTGGTTTTATGTGAAACTACATTTTGAAAAGGAGTACTTCAAAGTGCCGTTTTGGTCACAAGGAGCCATTACAATCCCTCGTAAACGGGTGTGCTAAACCATTTTGTTCCCCATCTTTGCCTCAATTACTGCCTACAAATAGTGCTCGCGATTTTTGATCGATTTCCTTTCACCCCTTACGTAAATGGCAAGTATAATAACCTGGTTGTAGGTTTTGTGGAGCTCCGTTAGAAAAGCCCCCATTAGTCCGTCGAAAAAGGTAAGAAGAGTGCACAGTTCTTCCCTGGAAAGATTAGAAATCTTAGTGAAAGGCTACTTTCGCGAATCTACTGCCGTACCCGTGAAAAAGTATGGGGGAAAGTATGGCCCCCAATTTTTTTCGGCTCGAAGATTTCTGCTTTTCCTTATGTTTTCACTTGCAGTGTTCGAAGTGAGACAGTTTCTCTGTCCACTTGCGCTTTCGTTCAACTGCCGTCAACGTTTGCAGCGTGTACATCGCCGATGTTTTTACTTGCAACCGCCATTGACCGACGACTCTGCGTCATGTCATCTTAGTGAGTTATTGAAAACTTTATCATCCTTAATTGTGATGTTAACTCTTTGCAAAATATACCTATGCTTCTACGGTGCCCCCTTTTCTGTTAGTCAAAAGCAGGGAGAGAAACTTTCGTTTTCATTTGAAAATTGAGCACGTTCTCGATAGAGAAAAAATGTGTTAGACTCATCGACGAAGTTCTGATCGCATCTAGAAATATTGAGGACTCTTCGATGCGTGTCGCGTTCGCGGCTCTATTCTGACATGATTCCAAAATGTTAAAAAATGTTGCTATTGTTGAAAAAAACATGTTTTCGGTCTACTCAACTGACGGTGTCTTGTCAAAAATTTCATTTCATACGATGTTTTATGAGTCGGGATAAAACGAAGTAGAACATCTTCGCCCTACCAAAAGAACACTGGACTGCTGAAAGTGCCTATGGAGTGAAGAGCTTAGGAACAAACTGCAACACCTCCTAACAACCTCCTGAAACCATCAACAAACCCTTAAAGGCACAGTGTACGATAATTTTGAGGTACCCGTTTTTGTTCAGAAAGCGGAAGCATACATTGGGAATAATTCATTGGTAGTGAAGAAAACTAGAGAATTCGTCATTTCGAGAAAAATATGGCTCCTCAAAAGCAGGGTTAATAGAGGTCGGACGAGATTGCCATCACGGAACTAACATGGAAGGGGTATTCGGACGAGATTTCAATTATTGCAATTGCACAGAGAGCTGACTACACTAAGCCAAAACTGTACAGAGCTGTCTTTCACTTCGCTATGGGTCATAACAAGTTGTTTTCTTCCTACATGGGTTTTCTCGTGATCGGTGCAGCCTCTACAATGCCAGTGA